ATGATTGGGGAAACATCCTCTTGGGAGTCTGTTCCACAGAGCAGTGGTTTATGGCAAGAAGCTGTTTGAATGGAACTTACTTCTTGCTGATGGAATACAGAGGGAATGTGGGTGGGGTTGCTACAATATAAGTGGTATGACAAGTCCTAGCCATGAAGGTTAGACCAGGAGGTACTAAGAAATGTAGTTTGTCTGAGCTCTTTCGATGTAAGAACAGCGAGAGACTCACCATATCCCACCTGTGAGGGAGACGTTGGTTAAATAATTCTTCTCCAACAGTCTCTTACCTGGGCAAAAATTGTTTGCTTTAGATTGTCTTTCATCTGTCTAGGTTAATTGTTCACCATATTATCTAGAACTGCTGTGTGCCAAATATAAGTGCAGGCATAAATAAATGACTTCCTTCAATTTTCCTCTCCCCAACACACGGCTTATTTGGTACAGCATACTTATAATTTTTCTAATAATTTTTCTCTGGTACAATTTTTTTTTCCAAGAATCATGCTGTGTGAGAAAAATGCATTTTCAAGTTTCGTTTGAACCAGTATGTTTATTTTATGAGTTGAAAAATTCCTCCTTGCATGGCAGTTCCAGATGGCACATGTATTTGGTAAAAAAAAAAAAGTGTCAATTATTAACTCTATGTAGATTGTTTTTCATATTAAGTTATAATCTATGTGCAGATTTTTTGCCATATTGTTTAGCAAACTACAATAGTCTACTGGCATAGTGTGGGCCTTGGGCTCCAAGAAGGCCGACCCCACACTGCAAGTGAATTGCAGTAGCTGTGGTGGGGTGTGGGCGATAGGAGGTTGAACACCTACCTGATTTTTTGGCCCTATTTTGTGATATATACCATAGATAATGGCTTGAAAAAGACCTCAAAAAATTATACTAATTTATGCCAATGATTCCATGAGAAATTTTGGGTAATTTGCTTTAAGCCACGTGCTAAGTACCTAATAAAAATTTCCTAAACAGTTGTTTTTTTATTCTAAACTTACATGCCTAATTCAAAAATAAAGAAATTTTTATAAAGTCTACCGTTTTGGAGTTATCAACAATAAAAGTTCGGACTCATTTGTGTTGTTGTCGGCTATGGCATGGCAGCTATTATTGACATTGTTTGCATCAGTGCATGCGCAATAATCGAGACAAGTGAATGTCTATCCGCAGCAACATTTGCAAACAATGCCAGTAATGGCTGCAGTGATGCAAATGAGTCTGAACTTTTATTGTTAATAACTTCAAAAAGGTAGATTTTATCAAAATTTCTTTGTTATTTTCAAATTAAGCATGTAAATTTACACATAAATATAACTATTTGGGGAATTTTTAGATACTTAGCATGGGGCTTAAAAAGCAAATTACCTGAAATTACAACTTATTTCAGTGTTTTACAGTAGATTTTTTATACAATAAATTTTAACTGTCCTCAAAAGTACTTCCTCTTGCAATGCATTATGGTCTAGTTTGAAAAGTAATTCATGTATCATATGTAATTATTACCAATGCAATTGGAAACGGACAAGGTGTTAAAATTTCACAAAATTTGTGCTGTTTGATCATCAAAATCAAGGTAAAATGTGTGAAAAAGGGGTGTAATTATAAAAACAAATTAGGACCTATCTGATGATTGCTTTTTGTTCTATCATGAAGGAGATGGCCCAGAAATTGGTAAAACTAGGTGGAATTTCTAGAAAAGTGATATTGAGAGTATGAGAGCAAAATCTTGGGGTCCACCACCCACCTGTGGTACACTGGCTACCATAGTAAACTGATTCACCTAATAGCAGTGGACTACTGTGTAGCGGGCGGTCCAGTGGCCCCGTATCACGGAAAGGGGTGAACGAGGTCACAAGAGGCCTGCTAACATTTTTGAAGACGTTAAATCTGACCGTGAAACAATATGGACGACAGAACGAGGATATATGATATATAGAGGTTTATTCTGAAAGGAAAAGGAAATGAAGATGGTCGGAAACGGTGGAGGTGCTGGATGCTGCAGGAGTGAGCTGGATACTGCAGAAGTTTTAGTGCAGGCATTGATGGTCGAGGTTGGCAGTTGCTAGGATCATCGTTGTTGGGGGTTGAAGCTGATGTGGGTTGTTGCCAGGATGATCGCTTGGTGGTTGTTGATGTTGAGTGATGCCAGGATGATCTTTGTTGTTTGTTGAAGCTGAGTCGTTGCCGGGGTGCCAACTTGTTGCTGTAGTTCGTGTTGCCAACTCGTTGTTTGTCATTGCCGGGGTGCCAACTTGTTGCAGCAGTTCGTGTTGCCAACGTTGTTTGTCATTGCCTGGATGCCAACTTGACGTGTTGGGAAGGAAGAGAGAGAGAAAGAAAGAAAGTTCCCAACTATCGTCAAGTTGGCAGACAAAAAGAAATGGGAGCGAGCGTAACTTAATACACAGCCCGTAGATCGGCGCCCTTGGCCAATGATGGCCAAGGGGCCTGCGTAGACGACCGTTGCGGCCTCCCCCAAGCTTGGGAGAAATCACAGTCTTGTGTCGAGGGGGACCAGCAAGAGAAATTGGCTAAGCTAACCGAAAAGTCTCTATAAAAAAATACTACAAGGTTAGCTAAAGATAACTAATGTCTAAAAATGACTAGATGTATATTACAACTAGGTTTGTAATGTAGCCTAACTAAAAAAGGGGATTTGCTAGTCCCTCTGACATGTTAACAGTGTGTGAGGAGTATGAATGAGAGGTCAAGGTCGAAAAGACCTGTTCCTCTGCTGGTTCAAGGACAGAAGGAGGAGGTAACTCCGACAACTGTATTACCTGTGTTTATAATGTCCTATATTAATTAAAACTGTTACTTGTGCATAGATTGTTCACTATTATCAATTAAACCATTATGTGGGTAGACTTTTTGCTATATTATCTAGCAAACTTACCTGTGTGTAGAATGTCTTTTCTTTTAAACTATTTCCTGTATGTAGATTGTTTACTATGTCCTCTTAGTAATTATGGTGATTTTCTAAGCATAGCTTAGATGTATGACAAGGCCAAAAGTGTGGATTGAACTCAATACTCATTTTCTAGTGACAAGCTTGTTAACCATTACACCATGTCAAGGTGTCCTTCTCTTAGTAATTATGTGCATGAAAATTGTCTTATTTTGTTAAGCTTTAGTCTTAACTTGAAATATACACATTTTAATTATAATGTAATTTATGGAATGGAATTTGAAGACTTACTGTAATTCTTAGTTTTAGATATCTCTCAAATATTTCAGTGACTAACACTTTTTTTTGTTAATTTTTGTGTGTAATATGCATTCCAAACATAATGAGATAACATCTCCTTAAAACATCAATATACCTTTTATTCAATCCAACTGTACATAGAATTTCAGGTGAAATACAAAGGTTCTGTCTACTCCGAGAATGAGCTGGAATAGCAATACACAAACCATTTAAATGTTCGCCATTTTGACTTCCTGTATAGGAGGTTATTTCTGGATATGATTTGCAACAGCTATTTAAGAAAAACTTATTTTCCAAATGTAAAATATAGCCCACTGATTTTAAAGTCTAATATTGAGAAAAATATTTCACAACTTGTAGACCTTGTTTTGATTTTAAATAAAATTTAATTTATAATTATGCACATTAAAAAACAAAAATAGTATCTTCAACTTTTAGTTGGGATAAAAAGCTAGAGATGCTAATTGAAAAAATATGTTCAAATACAAATGCTTCATTTTGGAAAATTAAAAAAAAAAACTACTACTACTACTACTTCTAAGAGGAGGAGGAAGTAGTAGTAATGGCAGCATCAATAGTCATCAAAATAATGGACAAAATCAATGGTAGTAGGACTTGGGATAAAATGAAAATTGTTAACAGGAATGTTGTGACTAAAGTTGTATTTGCATTGCTCTACTATTATGGGGTAGGAGTCTGAATTTTAAAAAGGACTTCTTTATTCTGAATTCCCACATTTTAATTTGAAGGCTCCAAAATAAAAATGGAATCAGGATAACATGTTTGGATACTTTTGAAACTCCAACACAACTAAATTTTGAATTTTGATACATTGAAAAAAGAAGCTTGACTGACTTGTGTACTATGAATAAAAAATCATTGTACATTATCTCAATCTGGCAACTCTGTTTGAAATGAAACTAAATTTAATTTTTTTTTTTTTTATTCTCAATTCATATGAGGCAATTTGCAATGAACACCTGTTTTTTTAAGAAAAACTTAATTCTGGCTGATGAAATAACAAAGGCAAGGAATAATTTTAAAAATCTCCATGAAATTCTTAAAAGAAAGTCTTAAATTTCCTCAAGAAGAAATGAACAATAAAGATCTTTTAAAAATCAACAATGTGCATATCTAAGGATGAAGAGAGTGCCAGTCTGAAAAGATGGCTTACTTTGTGGCTGACATAAGCATTTACCTATTGGCAACAACGGTAAGACCCAATGGAAAAAAAATGGTTTATTACAGCAGGCAGGTCTTAGTTGAAACATTGGTGCTACACAATCTTCCATTTCTTGTCATTTGGCCTTATATCATACTGAACCAAACTTAGTATCTGTGGATATAGATTACACCCGAACCTTTTTTAAAATCTTTAATTGAATTTAAATTATATTCTAACAAGGAAGATTTTTAAAGATTAACTTTTAAAGTGTGATGATAAGTAATAAAAACAATGTATTTGCCTCAATTCTTTCAACTGCAAAAATCGTTTTTTCTTTTGTCTTTAAAATGTAATGAAAAAACTTTATTTTTCATTATTTGTTGTCGCAATTGGTGGTATGATTTGGTGTTTGGCCGAACCAAGTCGACTGTACCTATGGCTGGAAATGCTGGACTTTGGCCGGGGTGCATCTGGTGGGGTTGGAGTCATTACAAAAGTTTTGCTTTTTGAATTGAGACCAGAGTCATCGGTACCCTCCATCTGAGAGGATAGTACCAGTCGATCAACTGACCCAGAGTGAGATTTACTGGACTGTTCATCATAGCTGCTCTCTCTTTTCACGGATTTGGAAAAATTGGAGGTGTTTGGCACGGAAGTGAATGTCTTTAAAGATTCGTCAGAACTTGGTTCATCCGAGCTGTTCCTGCTCTGCGGGGGATTATCAAGTGATTCCTTTAGGCTGTTTCCATAAGTTCTTGTAGAAGCAGAACTGGTAGACCTGGTTTTTATAGCAAAGAAAACAAATATTTGAGGTGATTTCTTAATAAAAATAACAAATCTTAGATAACATTCATTAAATTAGAGAAAAAGGTGAATCCTTTCTAAAAAGCTTGTTATTGTTACATACACATAAACAGACACACAATATGGCTTATGGCCATATCATGTTGAAACATTGGTTCCCTTACGATCACCAAAGTTAAGCAATGTTGAGCCTGGTCAGTACCTAGATAAGAGTAATCACTTTGGAATACTAGGTGCTGTAAGTTTGGATGTATGGATGGTGTAATAGATAACAGCTTGGAACTATTAATCCGAGAGCCAAGTTCCAGTTCCCGCCAGGTTTGTTATATTCACTTACGTGCAAATACCTTTGGGAATGGTATGAATCCACCTATTCTCCCTCAGCTATGGATTAATTGGTACACTTGTATCACTAAATCATTATCTCCAAAAAATATTCTTACAATCTAAAAATATTTTATGGCTTTAAATAACTTGCAAAATATTGATAATCTGTACAAAATGAATCAATCGAAACATATATATATATATATATATATATATATACCCTAGCCAGTAGAGTAATTGAACTCATAAACTTCATTTTACAAGAAACTACCACTTGTTTATTATTGTTAGACTTACCTGCTGATTGAAATAGGTACAGTATATGAAGTTCAATAAAAACACCTGTGTGATACTGTTGAGCAAGTATATATAGCATAGACATAAATTAAGGTGTATGAAACATATGACAACATAAATACACGAAAAGTTCAAACAAAACACAAAAGTCTTTGTAGAAAAATACTTGTATATAAATATATATTATATTTGAAATTATTAATACAAGGTTTGTATATATGTACTTGATAAAGACCAGGTGCCAAAAACTATATAAATGTAGTACTTATACGTCTGGTTGCTAACAGCCTGAAATTGTGTGTCCTGTTTTTGTAACTTCAAGGAGCAAAAAGCGAAAGATTGACTTTCCTGCCTAACGATGTCTCATGTGGGTCTCATGAGATCATGTACCTGTGCTCATGAATATTTATAATTAATATTTATTGCTATTTTTGTTTTGGTTAAGGGGAGATAACTTTTTGGCTTGCTACAATACTATGGACAACCACATAGAAAAGGAAGAGGTTGTTTTATCTAGATCTCAAGTGTTTCTGTTTGTGGATCAGCAGATAGTTCCTTTTGAATTTCAGTCTTCTAAGCAGCATGAACTTTAACCAAAGGGTCAAGAGGTGGATGGGGAATTTGTAGTGATCAAGTGGCAACTAACTGGAAATATAGTATAACCAGGTGTTGGTCTATATTAAATCATGCTTGAGATTGGCAAAAGTTCTAGTTTGCCCTTGGCAGGAGATGGAGATGTCCATCAAGTGGTTCTGAAGCCTCCATTTTGGCATGAGTAGATTGGTGAACAGTTGGTAGGGTGAAGAACTGACATAGCAGAAATTGCCCCAAGTATCATCTACCTACCTACCTACTCAGACAAGCTGGGGGGGGGGGGAGTGCTGAATAATTTTTATAGTCTGGCCACACCTTTCAGTGTACTCTCCTGAAAGACACGACATACTTCTGATATATTAATGATACCCTAATAATACACTCACATGACACATCACCACCAGAATTGGTCGATAAACTAAACAAGATAAAACACCCAATCAGTTTCACCTATGAAACAAGAAAACTACACCTTACCGTATATTGACATCATGCTAATATGCACACAAAGATATTCAACTAAAGGTTTATTGAAAACCAACAAATAATAATGGCATCATACACAACAATAAAACAAAATCTGGAGTGATCATAGGCTTTTATTTAAGAGCCCTTAGAATCTGTAGTCCCCTCTGTCTGAAGAAGAGGAGTACATTGAAAACGCCTTCACACTCTAATAACTGAATTATTTGCTGCTCAATGCTAAACGCAAAGCCAACAAAATCCACAAAAGAAATACAAAAGACACAAAAACCCACAAATAGTAATAATTCCGACAAACATAATAAAATCAAACGCACGATCCTACCTACCAACTCCATAACAGCCACCATGAGAAAAACCTATCCAACCTTGACATAAAATTCCTCAACACTACATTTAAAACAATAAGAGATATAGTTAATATCAAACGAGATAGCAATAACAACAGAACAAAGGCAGTGATATAAAAAAATCATCTGTCCAAAATACCCATTAGATATATATATGTGTGTGTTTGTGTTATATATATATATGTGCATGTGTGTTTTTTGGATGTATAATGGTATCTGAAAGAAAGGATGATGAGACAAATTGGAGCATTTTTAATCAAAGACTTGTTTTACCAAAGAAAAGCTTAGCTTATATGTTCTCTTTAGCATCATCAGTTCAGCTAAAAGAAGACAAAACTCTGTGTTAGGAGAGAGTTTGGGGATCTTGGACGATAAGTTGGTTGTTATCCCCCAACACTTAATAAGATCTTCAACAAAAATAACAAATTTAGCTACAGTTGTGCTAAAAACATTGACCAGTATATAGTCCAGCACAACAATTCCATTCTAAACAAGTATTTCAACAACCTTCAAAAGCAAAAACATCCCCATAACTAATAGCTGCAATTGCAGCAATAGCAAACCCTACCCATTAAATGGTAAATGTTTGTCCAAATTGTTAGTTTATAAAGCTAAAATTAATCATGGCAACGAGGTCAAGTTTTACGTGGGCTCTACCAAAAACAATTGGAAATTGTGCTTTTACTGCCAACAAATGACATTTAGCAATATCAAATATCAAAACAGCACTGCCCTATCTAGATTTTTTTGAAAGCTAAAAAGTGAAAATAAAAACCCAATTATCACCTGGGAATTTGTATGAAAGCTAAGCCCTTCAGCAGGAAAGGTAGTAAATGTAACTTATGTCTCTCTGAAAAATTAATAATCCAGAAAAATCTTAACTCTTAAACAAAAGAAGTGAGTTGATTAGCAGCTGACTACATAGAACCAAATTCCTACTCAAACATGTTGACCCAGATTAAGATAGTCTGTACGAGTTTCAATCATATTTTTGATGTTTTTTACACCTACCCCGTGATTTTGTCTGTGGGTGTATAAAAGTAGTGTGGACAGTTATCAGTCTTGAAATGCATTGCTCAATGATTTAAATATAGAAAGGGATTGTCATTGGTCAGGAATTATTGATAGAATAGGGCTAGTGTATGCATAATTAGATTATTGATTGCCTTGTTTCTAATCTATGAAAAAAACAAACTAGATTTTTTTTCACCTTGTAATTTGTTCATAGAGTGGAGGAACATATGCCTGCACAACCTTCTTTACATTCTGGTAACGACGTTTCAAAGATTCCTCTTCCTGTGAAAGAAATGGAAATCAGAATGAAATATTTTCAAAGCTGGTCATATTGGAATACAAGATACATTTAAAAAATATAAATAAAATTTAATGTATGAGTGTAATGGTTTGAGTTTTTTTTTAGGTATCCCTCTGTTGTAACCTCATGCCAAGTCACATTGGAGTAGTAGCAATATTTTCAAATGAAATAAATCAGAGATGAAAAAAAAGGAAAGGTCTTCTGAAATAAATTTATGAGTGCAATAAATTTGAGCCTCATTGGGAGCCCCTCCATTGAAGACTTATGCCTAACTGAGCTAAGTTTAGATAGTTTTAATAGATTTACAGGATGCCTACCATAGAGCAATAGATAGCAAACTTGTCTCAAATCATTTGCTGTTGTAGTGAATCTGACTCAACCTGGGCACCCCTCTATTGTGGCCTTGAGCCAGACTATACTCACCTTAGAAAATATCTATTTCATATTCAACAGTGTCTGTCAAAGAGCAGGGGTGTGCAAGCTAGTCTGGTAGACAAGTATAGGGTGTCTGACCCTTCCTTCAAAGGGGTAAGGATCCTCTTAGAAAATCAGCATTTAAAATGTTTTTTGTTTTTTTTAAACCTGAGCTCACTCAATAACAAATGCATATTCATGTACTATTTAACATAGTTTAGTACAAGACAGCAATAATAGATCACCTGGTAAGGATTCAAGTTAGTATACTAGCAATGGATTACAAAGCAGTTCAAATGACCATTGTTCTACAGCAAATATTCTCTCATATATATTTCTGAAAAGTGGAAGGGTTATTTGGACAAGTGAATGAGACTTCAACAGTATTATTATGAAGGGGACTAAAGTGCAGTCAATTATGTGTGAAGAGGAACTTACATGAAAATTTCTTAGTTCAACCAAGAAGCTCTTAAAAACCTCCTGATGTTTGGTTATTTTGTGTGATTTTGGGAAATGAATTAGGCTGAGAACTTGTCACCATTCTCTTATTCTTATATATTATTGAATCAGAAGTAATATAAATTCACAGCATTTATCAGAGGTTGACTTGGAGTTTCATGATTTCTCACTTGTCAGTACTTCAGATAAGAATTTCAGAATGTCTATTTTACTATTTTTAAAAACACTTATTTATATACATCAACATTAAAATTTAAAATAATCTTAAAAATACAATGGATTTATGTCTCTTAGTTTTAAAATTAAAAAGAAAATATAAAAACTTAATAAGAGCAGGTTTTTTTCATTTTTAGTGTTACAATTTTATTTTCATACGTATTTGAAGTAAATAATTTAACTAGTTTATATAAAATATTATAATATGTATTTATATTATTAAGTAGATAAACTAATTTTGAATATTTGTTTTGTTTACGTTTTTAGGAAAGGATTTTTCATTTATTAATCTGACATATTTATTACTTAAATGTTATTTTTTAGTGGAATATTCAAGCTGGAGAGCACATATTTTTCCAATAAGATTTCTCAAATATTCAGGCCAGTAGGTGAAAATAAATAAATATACTGTTTAATAAATAGATGGGGTGTCTACTCAAATATTGATATCTACTAAAAAAATAATAATTAGTAATAAAATATATACATCTGCGCAGACGATCACAAACACATACACACTATGAAAAAACTTGCCCGCATCGCTATCCCAGAATTCTCACTTTGGTCAAAAACCGCTGATAAGAGAGAAAAGCTTGCCAGTCAAATTTCAATCATTCTTGATCCTGGGCCCTACTCTATTCCTTATCTTCATAAATGACCTTCCTGACACCATAGATTCCCAAGTTGGCATCTACGCGGATGACACCACACTTTACTCCTGCCTCAAAAACAAATCTAGTGTCGCTGACCAAACTAACCTGGCCGTGCGTCTCGAAAAGGACCTCCAATTGGTTGTGAACCGAGGCAGGACTTCGCTGGTCAACTTTAATGCCTCAAAAACAAAACTGCTCTCTATTGATCACCACAGAGGTCCTTCCATGCCCTCTATTAGAATGTCTGACGCTCAACTTCTCGAGAGCACCTCTCTGCGGCTGCTCGGTCTCATGTTGACTGCTGACCTGAGATGTAACAAATACATTGAATCAATTGCTTCGTCCACTGTAAGGAAAGTTGGCTTCCTGTGCTGTGCCAGGAAATTTTTCTCCCCGGAATCGATCCTTCAGATCTACAAATCAACAATTCGGCCTTGCATGGAGTATTGCTGCCATATATAGTCTGGAGCCCCTACTGTTTACCTTGGGGTTCTTGATAAGATCCAGAGGCGGATATGCAATATAATTGGCCCTGTTCTGGCATCAAGTCTACAGTCGCGCTCTCTCACAGACGCGCCATTGCCTCTCTCTGTCTTTTTTACAAATGCTTTCATGGAGGAGCTGCATTCGCTGGTTTCCAGACTTCATGAATTCAAGCGCCCTACGAGGCTGACATCCTGCTCTCACCCTTTCACTGTTGAAACTATTAAATGTAGCCATCTCTTCTACTCCAATAGCTTCATGTCTCGCACCTCTCGCCTGTGGAACTCCCTTCCCTATTCCAGTTTCCCAATCTCCAACTATTCAAATATAATGTCAATCGACATCTCCAGTTGCCTTGATCTATCCACCATCCTTCTCTTCATCCTTTCCTCTATTACTCCTATCTGATCTTGCTCCAAATCTTCTGTAACCCCTTGCCTCCTAGTGGCTTCCTGCCTTGCTTGGGGTGAAACGCTTAAAAAAAAAAAAAAAAAAAAAAATTATATATATATATATATATATATAATGTATGTTTTTTGTCTTAATTTAATATTTTTTCACCTTGATTCTCTGCAATGTCTTCCTAACTTTGCTTGAATCTTTAGTTGTTTCTTATATATATATATATATATATATATACATACACACTTTCATACTAAATCGTATTAATGTAAGATTAATTTGATTTGCTGCATTTAGTGAGGCTTTCTCATTTTGGTAGTTATTGACTGTGGATTTGTCAATGCAGTTTGAAAGGGTTGGTATTTGGACACATGTTTGTACTGGCACTCCTGTGGGCTGCAGCTTGAGAAAGAAGTCAAACCTGGGATTTTTTTTTTTTTTAATAAGAGTAGATAGGTTCATTTATCATCTGATCCACACTCTTCCCCCTTCTCTCAAACAGGAGTAGAGGCTAATACCTTGTTTCCTGTTTAGGAAGGTGTTCCTGGTTCCTTTCATTTCTTTTAACCAAATCTGGTGCCTCCCAGGGTCTTCTTTTTTTTTTTACCGGCAACATTTGTGATTGGCTATTGAAGTTTTGATTTTTGTGGGGATTTGTTTGGTGGAGTGGGTGTGATGCTCAGAGCCACAGTGCAGAAGATGACTTCTTAGTTCTCACATCTGACCGACATGAAGAGTGAATCAGAAAGAGATCTAATTGCAGCAGAGAATTACAATGAACCCATGTTAGCCTCATTAATTTTGTTCATATCACGTTAAATTTATTTAAGCTGAGATTTTTAGTTATGAAGTTGTAGCAGAGCTGCTGAAAAATACATTGAAAAATAATAAGTTAAAACCATTAAAATTTTTAAAGATTATTCTTAATATTTTGGGCAGAAATTTGTTAGCCCAACTCATGTGATTAGAATAATGAATGAAAGCTATTTTGTTTCTTGAAAAATAATGAATTAAAACTACTTGGGATGTTTTTTCTTAGTAGTTTGGAGAAAATTTGTTAGCTTTAGTCACAAATTATTACAAGTCAAGAATGAAAGAGTGTTCTGTTCTGCTGGGACATTGCTTATTGGTCTGAAACTGAATTGACATTTGGGTTGCTTGGGGACACACACACACACACACACACATACACGCAAGGGTACAAGGAGTGCTGAAAAGTTCTCAGTCCAACCAAGAAGGAAAAAATATACAGATTCTGATGTTTGCCCATTTGATTAGATTGTGGGAGATGGATTGGGTCAAGAACTTTTCAGTACCTCTGTTTATACAGATGCAAAAATTATATTCAGCACAATTTTAAGTAAATCTTAAATCTATAATTAATTTTCCACAGGAATTTTTATATTAATTTTAGTTAGTTTTCATCCCATCTCCTCAGACTCTCAACTGCAGTCATTAGAAAACTAAATTCTAATATCCCCATCCACTTGGTTGGAGCACCCAATATATTCATACACTTTTGTCTGTGGTACTAATTATATATAGGCACCTGTCCATGGTAATAGAATTTACCTCTTTTTATCATTAGCACTCAATAGCCAGTGGAGAATACATATTGCTGGCAGGGGTGTTTTTTGTTTGTTTGAAGCTTCCACCCACTGCTGGTCCCCAGATAAAGTTTAGTGTTGATTTGTTGTGTATCTACAAAGACATGCTTTTTGAAGCATTATTTTGTACAATTCAGTGAGCAGTGATTTTGGGTTTTTTGGTTTCCTGGAAGGTTATTTGAAAGGCAAACAGATTAGCAGATAAGATGAAAGGCAAACAGATTATAAGCTTAGAAGATGAAAGGCAAACAGATTATAAGCAGAGAAGCAAAAAGATTACAACCTCTCTTGGTTGAATTTCTATTAAGATCTTGAAGTATTGAGAAAGTGCTAATTGCTATATTAGACATATGTCTTTGTGAGTTGGTAATTCTTTTGGCCTCAGAAGAGAAGAAGAGAAAGATACAGTGACAAAGCTTTCTCACAGTAAAAAATTGTGCGAGTTGGTGGATAGTCTCCTGGTTAACTGTGGCAAACTCTCTGTGAACCCAACTGTGGACTCTTGCATGATCTGGCCAATCTTGTGCAAACTAACTATATGACTATGTGCTTTGGTTTATATAGACTCCCCCACCCCCAGGTGGATAATGGTGATGGATACTATCCCCAAACAAAGAACTTCTTATTACTGTGCATGTGACCCATATTTCTAAAGTACTCAAGACATTTTAAGAAGAAATCAAGCAAGTTTGCCAGGTTCTGCTAAATAAACATTTCCCAAATTTGTTTCAGTTTTTGCAGAATTTTGGTAAATACATTAATCTTGTCACTGTTGCAGGTGTGAGAGGTGGAGTGGGGAAAATTCAGTTGTACTGAATTTACTAAATCTTACTAGGTTCATTTTGGGTTCAAATCCCACCAATGCCATTCTCCAAAGCATTTTATAGGTTTTGGTTAATATTTTTAAACCAAATTTTCATCCATTAGATTCAATCTGATTAACTAGGCTTCTATAATTTTTTTCCATTTGACATTTTGATTCTTTCATCTAGTATTCTAGGCTCTCTCAATACCTGAAGTTACTAAACAATGTTTCATGGACTATTATGACTATCAGGGTCACTGCCCTGTTACACTAATATTGTAATTGAAGTGATAGTACATATATTAACAAACATTCATTTTACTTATGTATTTTGTGATACCAAACTTGCTTCTATACTAACTTGTTTTTTATTAATATAATCCCTTTCTTATTTACTACTGACCTGCAACCTTTATTCAGAAGAGAACCTCAAAGGAAAGGGAGACAGTAAACTAAGCACCTGTCAGTAGATATCTTCTGAGATATCTTCTCTTTTCTCTACTCCTGGTCATACAAGACAGCACAGTAATTACCCACTCACTGCTATGTCTAAAATTCTTCCTTTTATCTTTTTATGTCTTATCTTTTCATCTTTTCTTTGAGTTTGTTTCAAATTGTTGTTTGTATTTGAAAAATGTTTTCCTTGTTTGTGTATTTCATTGAAATGTATTTTGTTTGTTCATTTCGCCTTTCAAGAGATATATTTGTTATTTGTTTTTACAGTGGATTTCTTAAATAAAAGGATAACATTATTAGTATGAAACATGGACCTTTTTCATTGAGACCAGCAGTCAGTTACAAATATTATCTTGAATTTTTATTAGATGAGGTATTGTCAGTCATTATTTTTTGATAATATTTCTTTTATCTTAATTTTATTTCTTGAAATAGGAGTCAATAATTAAAAATAGTTGACAATGCTTCACTTACTGCATAAGCCAATTTCATGTATAGCGTAAATCCTGAATCTTTTTACAAGAATTTTAATCCCTCCAGAAAAAAATGTACCTGTGTATAAGGCAACTGGACATTGAAATTGCCTGATTTTTAACCTCTTCAAAAAAATTATCTCTCTATAGTAGGACCCCCTATTTTTTTGTGTAAAAATCTGATCATAAAAACGTTCACTAATGTATATACAGTAATAAAAATTCATGATCATATCTTAGATCTGTTTTTGAAGTTTACACACTTTGGCTGGAATATAGTCATTGCCAAAAAATACTTGTTGATTGAATAATGATGCTATGAATTCATATGAATAAAACATTTTGCCAAAAATATGATGCAAAATTTTACCTCAACCTTGCGTTTGTATGTAGCTTTATTTCTGACTTGTTTGTCTCTATTGACAATGTTTCAACAATAATTTTGTGTTAGTCATATATTCAATATAATTTCTATGAGAAATATGAAAGCCATTCCCCTGACTCACCACAAATCCTATCATGGGAGCTGTATAAAGAGGTTGCTCGGCAACACTGTTTGGACGGGTGGGACATGGTTCCTTTTCAAGTTGGTTTCCAATTGGAGACAATCTTGGTAGTTTTTCACTGGTGCCAATCCAACTTTTGACCAATTGCCAAAGTTTTTGATGAGCAAATTCCATATTGTCTGTGAATTAAAGAGAATATGGAGAAAGTTAATACAGAGAGGGAGGGAGGGATGTTTGTCGTTCTGACATGAAATCTTTACATTATTCCACAAATCATTAATGCTATTATCTACATCTTTATTTTTTTCATTACCATATTTCAGAAAATTGTTTTGTCAGATCTATGCTGCATCAGGAAATCTTTGAATGTATCATCCCAGTATTCTACTTATTGTTTGCATTAATATCCTCACCTGTGTTGATATTATCCATAGGTTTTGGCTTTTCTCATTTGATTAGAGATCATTCTTATTATAGACAATTTTAGATTTGGATATGAAATATGTCTGTATTCAGCATCAATATACAAAGTAGATCAATACACAAATTCATTTTCTTAGTACACTTACAACACATGGCAAAAGGTCCTTATACTGTTGTTTTGTTCTTTACTGATCATAGCTAACCACTTTGCATTGAACTCTTCTCTGGTTTGGCTTTTGTTAGTTTTATGTAAACAACCTTTTTTTTTTACTATAGAAAACAAATTCAAATATTATCACGAATTTTTATCAGATGAAACATTGTCAGTCACTATTTTTCACTAGTATTTCTTTTGTCTTAATTTTATTTGTTGTTAGATAATTCATTTATTTTTTAAATGGCTGCAGAATGACAGTCTAAATAGTTGCAATGAAAAGCAACTGAAATTAAGAAGAAAGAAATGGTGGGTGTAGTACTTTTTCTTTCCAGTTAGATTTAGTCAATTCTGACATTGTAGGAGCTGCTTCTTTCAGGATGAATTCTACATTTGAGGAAGACTAAGAAATACCTCAGTAAAAATGAAGAGATAAAAGCAACAAGGATAAGGATATTAGTTCAAACAACCTGTAGAACAGTGATGGTGACTCATCTTGGATTAAGTTTAGAAAATTCAAAAATGCAATTTGGTTAATGGATCAACTTCAGATTCAGCACTGGATAAAATTCAATTTCAAGAAGTGACTGTGGAGAATGAAGAAGATAAAACACTTTAAGCAACAACAAAAAAGTCTATAACAGACCTGTTATAATAACAATAAAAAAGCCTCCTGGATGTTCCTGATTGTATTCAATAAATGCATCCCGGGAATAGAGAGCATGTTCTATCTCAGCTTCTGTATAAACACCTGTATCTTGCATGTGTCTCTTATGTTCCTCTTTGGTTGAATGGACTGTAAGGATGAAGCGTGGCTGGAGGTAACTATTCTTCAAGGTAGCCATGGCCTGTGAATGCAAAAAACCATGGAAAACCACTAGGATCACTTTATATGAGAGGATTACATAAAAAAGCTTGTGAAAACTTGCTAAAGTAAGTTTTTTTATAGATAAATTGCAGAACTTTTAAGTAGCACCTCATATATATATATATATATATATATATATATATATATAAAAATGAAAAAAAAAAACAAAAAAGTTACCTCAACATAGAAGATAGCCATGTACAGAATGGCTTGAAATAGACTATCAGCCCTTAAGTGTCTGTCTCGGAGCATTGTTTTAAATTTATTTTTAATGTCAGTCCTCTTCTGGTAGACACCTTGTTAACGAGAATGGGTTTGTGTTAGCGATTAATGGGGGCATAAGGTATCTTATCCTGGGGGAAGTGGTCTGGGGTTGGAGTTTATTTATGGCCAGGACTTGTTGTTTGTAGTTTAATATCAGTTCCTACTATGTGGTGTTTCTTATAAAAGCCCTGAGTGTGTTTTTCTGGGATTCACAGTAAATAGTTTTTGTACTACAGGTGTCTAATATTATTAATAAGTGATGGGGAATTTAAACTTAAGCCCGTTAAGATTAATATAAATTAGTTGAGTTGTAGATTTATAGATTGTGCGTAATACCAGAACGCCAAATGGAATAAATCATTCTGTCCAACACGCTTATATGTGTACATATCTTCATGCATACATATATGTACATTTACATGTCCATACATATATGCCACTATACGTACACATACACCCCCACATATATGCACATGTATTCTTATGTAATTTAGAATTTATTTCTATGTTTACATTTCATAATTAGTTCTCTCCATTGATTTAATAGTTTTCATTGATCCTTATATTTTATTATCCTTTTATTATTATTATTTCTTATTATTTCTTTTAAACATGGTACCTATCCCTAAAACTATTGAGGGTATTTGTGAAACCTAGAATTTTCAAATTTATTTGAGGATTCAAACCCTTTTCCTTCAATTCCCAAAATTTTTTCGAAAGGGCTGTTTGGTGTTTTAATTTTGGATTGGTGAATGAGTGTCTATGTGTATTGATTCTCTTTTTAAATTCTCAGAAATGTCGATGTAAATATTATGGTTTGTCATATTTTCTTTAGAGGTAATGGTTGCCTGGTATACTACCCTAGTGGATCTGCACTTGCCCTCTACTGGGCAGTTTTCCTTATTTCTACAATTACAGGGGGTTTCCATGATAGATTTAGTTTTTTTCCCCCCATGGAATTTACTTAAATATAACCTACCTTAAAACTATATTTTTATTATCCATAACCTTGAAAGGATCACAATGAAAAACTAATTGACATAATATGTCTAAATTATTTAACTAAACCTGTTTGAATGAAAATATGCTGTCTAAATATACACAATATATATATATATATATATATATATATATATATATATATATATATATATATATATATATATATATATATATAATCAACTGAAACATTATAATCTATAACATGTGGAAAGAATAGCAGCTACTGACTCATAACAAGTACACATATTTAGAGTCAGAGGTTTATAAGCAAGTAAGCTAGTCTCAAGTGATTCATTTTGATGTGTTGAATGCTGCAATTATGGGCACGAAGAAAGATTCAAATCACTTTGATAATGGTTAAATTGTTATGACTAGGATACTAGGTTAGTGTATTTCCCAAATATCAGAGATTATGCAGTGTTCAAGATATTCTTGTTGGTAATCATAATATTAGGATACAGGCATAATGAATTAAAATATTAGGATACAGGCATAATGAATTAAAATATTAGGATACAGACATAATGAATTAAAATATTAGGATACAGGCATAATGAATTAAAATATTAGGATACAGACATAATGAATTAAAATATTAGGATACAGACATAATGAGTTAGCAAAGTGGGTTTTATTTGATTGGCACCACAATGGAAACCAAAGTGAAAGGATTTGTGAAAAGGAGAAGCTTACAGTGAGAACAGGGTTGAAATTTACTTACTTCTGTAGTAATTATAATTCTTTTAGTTATATTAATACTGAAACATAACTGACAGGAAGCACTGACCCATCTGAGGGCCAAAGTTCTGCTACTACATTTATTTTCTCTGCATGGGTGTCAAAATTCCACTACTTCCATATTGCTGCAGTTGTACATGTTTAGCCAAATGCCTAAAAATAATTCTACAATTACAAGAGTCCCAGGATGAATCATTCATGGTTATAAGCATCCAGTTGTCATCTTGTTGAGATAATAGTAAAAATCTCACTTACCTCAAGTTGCATATGCGTGATGCAACCTTTGCCTTCTTGGGCAATGCTTTCTAATGTTTTACTTTTTAGACCGTAATAATCCCCTCTGTACTGGTTGGTTACAATAAATTCTCCCTGCACAGACAGAAAAAGACAGAAAGAACAGAAATAAAGCCAAATTTACATATTTGGAATCTTATTAAAGTTTTAAAACTTGACATTTTAAAAGTATATAAGCATTATTGCCCACTAACTTTTGACTAGTATTTCTTCCATTTTAATTTCAGCTGCTTTTTCAATGAAACTATACAGACTATCAGTCTACAGCAATGATTGAAAGTAAAGTATAAACACTCAACAAGCCTTAAACTGTCTATATTTCTGAGATGAGGTATCATGTACACTATATGGTCATGATTGAAAAGTAAAGAATAAATACTCAATAAGACATGAACTGTTTATATTTCTGAGATGAGGTATTATGTACACTATTTACATTGTTCAGACTATTGTCCTCATCTTTATTGCCATATTTATCACAGCATTTTGGCTGTTGTACGCTCTGGCCTTCTTCAGGTGGTTGGAATGTCAAACTGAACCCTTTATTTCGCTTGCTGGGGCAGACTATTCTAGTTCCACATGCCATGTCTAATGGATGTCAATTATCTGTTATCCCCTGTTAATTCACCGCTTTAACCAGGTATTGAATTCACTCTTTGGGTCCTGTACCATGTGTCCTTGAGGACATCTGTGTATGAATTTCTGGGTATTATAAACCTAATGACGTCAAACAATTTTTACCAGTGCTCATATTGCAATTTTTGCTGTTATCATTGCATTTTTTTTTTTTTTACCAGAGCTCATATTGCAATTTTCATTGTTAATATTGCTTTTCTCTGGCACTCCTTATTACTGGTTCCCATATTGTATTCATTTCTATGCTTGGTCGGTTCAGGAGATTTTTGTGGCCTAGCATATGTGCTGATTCCTTAAGTTTATGAATTTTCCAACGATGTTCTGTGTATATGATTTCAACCTGATTCCACAGAGGGCGGTGATCTCCTTTTTCTCTCCATATGTGGTCAGCCACACCTGATTTTTCCACTTCCCCTTATGTTACAGCTTTTTGGTGTTCTTGAAGCCTTACCTTAAGGGGGCAGCCTGACTCCCCTTTATATTTCTTTCCGCAGCCACACGGGATGGCGTACACACAGTCTTTAGTCATGTTCTCCTCTATGGGGGGGGGGTCTTACTTGGGAGAGGTATCTGCTAAGTGTTGTCCAGCTTTTGAAGGTTGTCCTGATGTTATAGCAATAATAACAAAAATTGCAATATGAACTCTGGTAAAAAACATGATGAGGACGATACTCCAAACAATGTAAATAGTAAGACTTGAACTCACATCCCTTCTATCTTAGTAGGCTTATCTATGTATATCAGCTGCTCTAACAATTGGACTATGAGAACCAATGGTTGTATAAGATTGAATCAAACATTCCCTTTTTTATTTTTAACATCAAATAAAGCACTGACAAACAGGAAAAAGAAGGAATGAGTCTATATAGTTAAATTTGATTTTGTGCAGTTGTTGGCTTTAGTAACCCAAACGGTTAAAGCAGCTGTCATACAAAGGCTTCCAGGGATAAAAATATTTTGCAAAAAGAGACACGAGAAAAATGAAAAAGCTAATAAGCAAGAAAAGGAAACTAAACAGATGTTATTACTCATAAAATGGCATTTGCCATTGAAGAAGAAAGTTGAATTGAAGGTTATTTTTTTTAATCATTTCATCCCAAGCAAGGTGAGAAAGCCACTAAGGCAAGAGGAGTTACAGAGAGTGAAAGAAACTGATAAAATGTTATTGAGGAAAACAATAAGAACAAGATTCAAAAAGACAGATGATAATGATTGATGTGGCATTTAAAATATTAGAAAATCATAGTTTACAGAAAAGCAAGATACCAGAAGAGAGTTTCACAAATGAGAAGTGTGAGGGAAGAAGCTGTTAGCATAGATCTTACAGTTACATCTAGCAATTTTAACATTAAAATGATGAGAACTAGCTGCCAATCTAGTATTGTGCTTCAATTTATGAAGTTGAGGTACCAAAGAAGAAAGCTCATGAGAACAATTGTCATGAAGATATAAAAAGGCGCAAGAAAGCTACGTTATGGCAGTGGGAAAATGACTGAAGTTAAAATGACAGGTTAGGAATGATAACATTAGGGACTGTTTGGATTTTGTCAAGAATCTCTAGATATATTGCAGAATCACTAGACCAGATGTGGCAATGATATTCAATGTATGCATAAATAGTAGAATTATAAAGGTGCAAAATAGATTCTGGTGAGAAAAATTGTCAAGCATGACACAGTGAATCAATTTTCCGAGCAGCAGACTTAGCAATCGACTCAATATAATTGTTCCAATTCATGTCAGTGGAAAATGTTAGGCAAAAAAGACACAAGAAGTCACTCTCCTGGAGGTTAACATCAGCCATGCTGATGGAAGGCAAAAAAAAGTTCTGTAAGTTGAAACTTTTAGAGATGTACTAACTCAATTGCCCTTGTTTTGATGGTGTTTGTTCTAAAGAACAGAAAATATTAAGTATCTCTTAAGTAATTTATCTGAGAAATTATCCAACTCTACAACCTGAAACAGAAAACATTGCATTCTATGCAGTCTATTTCCATATGGAAAAAAAAAAGATCATTTCAGTGTTCTCCTTTTAAATATGATTCATTAACATTCTTTAGAGGTTTCTCTTTCTTTTTTCTGGTAGAGTCAGTAATTCAAAGAGATATTTTTTTTTTTGAAAGTCTCATTCTTGCTCTTGTTAGGGTTTCATTTCAAATGCTGCAATATTTTAGCTTTGCTCTCAAACGCTTGTCTTGTGCCATTAATTTTCTCTACTTTAGGAATAATAATTTTTCTTTTTTCATTTTTCATCTCACAAGTGGATAGTCATTCATTTTCTCCTTGTTATTTAAGTTTCACCCCCACCCACAATTTTTATTTTGTCCTTGTTAATTTTGATTTTTGTTTTATTTTCCTTACAAAATTGAAAAAATCCATTTTTTTGGTTCTTGTTTTTATTTTTATTGTCTTTGATCATTTTGTGATTTTTTTTTAAATGTTTCTCTTCTGTTATTTTAGGTTAGCAATAAGTTCAGTGATTCTTCAAACTATTTTCTTCTTCTTTAATCGATTTTGTGGGCTGCACTGTCTTTTAGTTTTATTTTTTTCCTTTCAAGACTTTCAGAAACAATAAATATTTCAATAATATAAAAATTATGCTACACACGAATGAGGCACCTCCTTAAAGTGCATAGGTAACTCCAACCATCACATCCACACCCCCTAGGGACAAATAACCCAGCAGCCAGCCAAAAAAGAGATATCTTAATTTTGATGTGGGTAGGGGTAGTGTAACACAGAAATTCAAAGGTGCAAAGGAAGAGTGAAAGAAAGAATAAAATAAAAATAACATTAGAAGAGGGTTTGAACTGCTATGTGACGTTTGCTCTCTTATATGGTGGCTGTAAATCCAGTCTTAAAGGATTAGCAGATATTTAATATGTTGTTCTAATATTCTGAACATACCTGTACTATATGTGTGTATGTGTGTAGGGGGGGTGTAGATATGCAGGTACAAGTTCTGGAATTTAATCTTCAGAAGCTTGGCTTCTCGTCTGATCAAAAGAGCTGGTATAGAGAAAGGTATGGTAATTGTATTAACATTTGTCATACCTTTCTCTAGACAAGTCTTATCATTAATATATCCAACATTGTTTTAATAATTGAACCCCTTCTCTTGTTGATAGTATATTTTTTAACATATTGGGTATGATAATGTCTTCATTTGTATAATTGTTTAATTTGCAAAATTAACCTACTACATAACTCAACTTTGCATACAAGACCTGAGAGATATTTTTAGCCATTTTGAGGGAAAAAATATAGGCAGTCTGTTATATCATCAAATACAGTATTCCTGATTGCTTTTCTGTCTAAATTTAGCTACATAGTAATTGTAAGTTTAATGCCTGTGCTCAGTAGTATAGACTCAGACTCGCTAAAAGCAGGATTAGCAATAACTAAGCAGTACTAAATCTATAGACATGGACAGTTGAACAGGAACAATCTATCCCTGTAGATTAAATAAAGGGTTCTTTTCAAACTTCCCTGAAAGTTAACTGGATTGACAGACACCTGAAGAAGGCTGAATGGCTGAAATGTTGTGAGAATAAAAACAGTGATGAGGACATTAGTCCAAATGTAAATGACTTACATTTTTTGTTACTTTTTTTATAATAATACTTAATCAGTATAAATTATTGCTTAATTCACATAGTTGTATCAATGTTTAGAAATCTTGGGTAAGCCTCATTTATTCATAATGGAAATACAGTTTTTATACATTGGTTGATTTTAATTAAAGAAGAATAAAAAGAGGTAGGTTTACATTCAGAACTTCTTGTTGAAAGTGGTTCAGTGTATTAAAATTATAGTCTTTTCCATCAACTTCTCCAGTTAACATTTGTCGAGTTGTTTCTGGAATCCTGAAAAAGAGAAATTTGTCAAAAATTCATCTCTGTATTTGCAAACTTGAAAGCTTTAAAAATATTTTCAACAGAGTTTACATATAAACTTACTGAGGCACTTGATTAGAGATTGGAAAATTGTCTCTTTAAATTTGGATAGTTAAAATTAACAATGCCATCTTACATGTTGTTCAGTGGATGAAGTGAACAGTTAAAAGACTTTGATCTTAGCTATTATGTTGGTCAACACATCTGCTGTCAAATGACATTAAATAACATTTTCACTATTTTACTTGGTAAATGATGTTAATTAACCCCCCCCCAATCTTTTAGAAATTCATACTTTATTTTCATTTTGTCTCCAGTACACTTCTGTGACTCATTCTGGTTTCCCAGCAGTGCTATTTTGTTTCTGAGAAATCTTCATTGTTCTATTGTAGTTCTACATGTCATTCAGTTTTATATATTTTGTTTTATTAAAATTCTAAAAAATAGCATTCATTGTCCCAAGCACTTTAGGTTAATTCTAGCTTTTTAGAACAATAAATGTATTGGGTGTGTTTTGAAAGTACCCCAACATGAAACTACTACTAAACAATACAGTATAAAATACACCCCCCAAAAAAAAAACTTACTAACAACAAACCTTAAACCCTTTAGAAATTCAAATCTATATATGTTAGTTGGATGTTGTCTAAAAATGTCTTACCCATATCCAAAGTTTTCAGAAAACTCTTCAGCAAGTTTCATTGCCAGTTCTTTGTTCCCACTACCCTCAGGTCCCACCATCACCAACATTGGATAGGGATCATTGATGTTTGACATGGTGCTGGAGGGGAAAAAAAGCAAACTGTAAGAATGCACTAATGACACAACTATTAGAGTTTGCAATAATTAACAGCTGTAATTTTCTTCTAAATGTCGTACATATCATTTGAAATTTCATTTTTTGAATTAGGAAATTAATTTCTGTATTTGAAAGCAAACTAACACAGATCCCAAAAAGAAAGACAAAAAAGATACAAAGCAAGAAGTCATTAAAGAGATTAAAAATTTATAAACTTTATTTTTGGTTAATTTGTTTCTTATAGAATTTACATTATTTTTTTTAATACATTATGATAATTTATTATTCTTCTTTTGTAAGACTCAGTGTGAAAAAAAATCACCTTGCCATGGTGACAATTGTTAGCAAACTGTTTTTCTAGAGAATTTTTATTGTAGTGAATTTGATCCTCACTGAGTACCGTGCAAAAATATATAAGCCATACAAAGCCTAACTAGGATGCTTTGCTAGCCTATGAGACCTTTTTTATTGTAATGTGTTTGATCCTTAATGGGTACTCTATAATTGTGGCCTTGTGCTAGACTAAAACATAACAAGTGAATCCAAATTGCAGAAGACATATTTAGTAACCACAAAATGTATCTTGTCTTCCAATTATAATTATTCAGTAGAGTATTCCGTGAATATCAAATTCACTACATGAGTGAATCAGTAATCATTACTCTGAGACAACTGGCAATCTTCCCATGGCTTGTCTTGCAGATGAGTGAGTTTGTTCAAGCTAGTGTGACAGATTAAGCTAAGGTATATATATATATATATATATATATATATATATATACATTATTTACTATCAAGTCTTCTGAAGAGTGGATGTAATTCCACAAGACTCAGAATAGAGATGGTCATAAGTCAACAAATTTATATGTATGTATGTATGTATGTATGTATGTATATGTTTTTTTTTTTTAAGCATATCACTCCAAGCAAGAGTAAAGAGGGGTGTTTGGGGAAAGGATAAAGAGAAGGATGGAGATCAAGATCAAGGCATCAGAAGATGTTGATTGACATTACACTTGAAGATATGAAGATTATAGCTATCAGCGAAGCAAGTAAGAAGAAGGGAGTTCCACTTTTGGGAAGTGTGAGATAAGAAGCTGTTGGAGTAGAAGAGATGGCTACATTTAACCATTTTGAAAGTGAAGGAGTGGGACTAAGATGCCAACCTAGTAGCATGCTTAAATTCATGCAGTTTAGGAACTAGTGAAAGTAGCTTGTCAGAGCAGTTGCCATGAAAATACTTGTAGAAAAGACAGAGGAAAGCCACAGCACATCTGTGGGAAAGTGACTGTAGACAAGATACTAGATCAGGACATTGCATATCTGTCTCTGGGCTTTGTCGAGGATCTCGAGATGAACAGCAGGGACACCAAACTGTATATAGCAGCAGTATTCAATGCAAGGATAAATGGTTGATTTGTAGATTTGGAGGATGGATTCAGGTATGAAAAACCTTCTTGTGTAACACAGAGAACCAAATTTCCTTGTTGTAGATAAAGCTATTGATTCAATGTAGTTGTTCCACCTCAGGTCAATGGAAAGTGTGTGACCAAGCAGGCATAGAGAGGTGCTCTTGTGCAGTTGGGCAGCAGCCATTCCGATGGGAGGCAGGGAGGGTTCGATATGGTGGGTAAATGAGAGCAGTTTCATTTTGGAGGCATTAAAATTTACAAGACATTTCCTCCCCCAGTCAACTACAGATTGGAGGTCCTTTTTGAGACCAATGGCCAGGTTAGTTTTGTCAGTGATACTGGATTTACTATTGAGACAGGAGTAAATAATAGTGTTGTCTGCGTAGATGCCTACTTGGGAACTGATGACATCAGAAAAATTGTTGATGAAGATCAAAAACAGTCTAGGACCCAGGATAGTGCCTTAGGGAACACCACTGTTTATATGAAAGGAACTGGAGGAGAACCCATTTAGGACAACCCCTTATTTTCCGGTTTGACAGGAATGATTGTATTAAGTCAAACAATCGTCCTGTAATGCCGTATCCCTGAAGCTTACAGAGAAGACTGGCATGCCAAACCCTATCAAACACATTAGAGATATCTAGAGCCACAGCTTGAACTTCTGTTATTGTCAAGTGCTTGGTATACAAATTCAGTTATGGCCATGAGCACATCATCAGTAGGCTGGGCATAACGGAAACCATATTGTTTGTCAGAGAGCAAATCATGGGATGTAAGGTGATTAACCACTTTGGTGTTGATTAAAGCCTCAAAGACTTTACTGAAGAGTGGTAGGAGACTGATAGGACAGTAGTTAAATGGGTCAGAAGGGTCTCCAGAGTTCTTAAAAATAGGGACAACAGATGAAGGCTTTCAACAAGCTGAAAAGCAAGAGTCAATGAGGTAATAGTTATATAGTTTAGAATTAATAGGTTGACAAATAAAATTTGAGGAATAAAATGCCAAAAAAATGATAACAATATTGGCAGTAAGATTGATGATATCTATTATATATTATCATTTTGATTAAATTGAAGCACAAAGAGAAAGATTTTAAAGTCATAATTTTTGGACATACTTGTGTCCTTTTTCAACAACATGAGGAATAAACAAAGTGGGGAAACTTTTCTGAGGAATGTTGTTACTGTTGGGTAGAGGGCTCCCTCTAGAAATTATACTTTCTGAGCAAACCCAAATCCCTGTTTAATCCCTCAATGTGTATTTCTATTTTGAAAGTATATTTCAATTCTAATCTGCATCTTTCTTGTTGGCTGAAGAATGAAGACACTAAAAGCATGGATCTGATGTCATCAATACTATGAAATGGTTGGTTGAAGTCTAACCAACAACATCCCTCAAAAAGTGTGTGTGTGTGTATATATATATATATATATATATATATATATGTATATATATATATATATAAGTGTGGAGTAGTGCGCAGTAAGTGCTGGTGGTAATAAAACAGTGCTTGATGTAAAATAACAGATCTCAAATAATAATATGTATACATTTGTTCCTCACCATTTGGTGCAACACTGAGTTTCATGCACATGGTATTTGTCAATTTGTAATATGTCAATATTTATAACCTACTGTTATGATAGTGGAGCAAGTCATTTATTTATGAGAAAAAAATATGTGTGTGTGTGTGTAGTGGGAGCACATACCTGAGTGGTTAAAACATTAGTCTTCTGACCATAAGATCCAGGTTCAAATTTCACCATGGTCAATTTGTCAAGGAGATGACCTTTTAATAGTATTGGCCTGTGGAGGTGATCCCAGTGTGCAGCACTGTGGGGGAAGTACCTGAAAACCGCACCATGGGTTGACCCAACCCTTGTGAGTGTCCAGAAGTTGTTGATGGGTCTGCTAACTTGAAGTTACAAGTCATTGTGACCAAGATTTTGAGTGTACTGGCCTTTTTCAGCTACTGATTATGTCAGATTTTGTTTCTTTGTTTTTCTCTCTCTCTCAGGCATATGCTAAGCATTGTTGCAACATAAACCATAGATTGGTTCTGTAGATGTTGAAGAAACAAATGTACCTAGCAGATAGGTATGCTCAGAAACAAGTGACCAGCTATATATATTAGTAAATATGTAAGATAATCTTGAAACTTAATAGAAAACCAGTTTATCTTAAAAGGTACTGGGATGTTTTTCACGCGTCTTAGATATAGATATATTGCCAGAAATATGATTTGATATTGGATATATTTCTTCTCAAAGTGGGATTTTGAGTTGGTTTTATTGCCAATTAAACTAAGAGGAAATGTATATAAAGAGAGATGCTCTAAAATCAGGTAACGTGTCTGCATCTACATAGATCTGGCATTTACACACTGTAACAGAGAAGCAACAAAGCTATTGTAGCATCTCCTAAAACAAAAGGCTTCCTCTAACTTTTCTAGGAGTGAACTTTTAAAGCAAATTATCAGGAGATTAGAGTTCTCATGTTTTGAATGAAAACAGGGGTCTATGAGGGTTGTTCAAAAAGTTCTAAGCCTCATTCAGAAGGAGTTGGAGAAACAAGACAGTTTTTCACTATTTTTCAATATTGTCCCCACTTGACATCAGTGCACTTGGTCCAACGATGCTTAAGCATTGCAGACCAATTATGGAAGAAGGTAGTGTCCTTGTCCTTCAGAAACTCCTTCACAGCATGTGATCTCATCACTGTTTTCAAAATGGTGACCATGCAGATGAAATTTAAGTTTAGGAAACAGGAAGAAGTCAGATGGAGCTAAGTCTGGTAAGTAAGGGGGATGGGGTAGCAATTCAAAGCTACATTTGGTGGCTTCAGCAACTGCAACCTGAACAGTGTGAATAGGCGTGCTATCCCAGTGCAAGAGCACATTGGCCCTCAGCTTCCCTCTGCTTTTTGATTTTGTCACTTCCTTCAGTTCTGATGCATAGCAATGTCCATTAATAGTTCTTTTTCCCTTTTCCAAATAGTCTATCATGATTATGTCTTCAGAATCCCAAAAATCAGAAGCCATCATCTTGCCAACAGACATTGCCTGCTTGAACTTATTTGAGAGTGGAGAACCAAAGTGTTTCCACTCTTTGCTTTAATCTTTGATTCAGGTTTGAAGTAGTGAACCCAGGTTTCATCTTGAGTTACTAATCTGCAGAGGATATTCTTAGGGTCAGCTTGGAAGTGAGTCAGAAGTTTCCTGGAAATGTCAACCTTTTTCAATTTCTGCTCTGGTGTCAGCATTCTTGTTAAAACAGTATGGACTGAACCAGAAAAAATGCCTATGGATTTAGCTATCTGCTGAACAGTAAGACTTCTGTCATCCAAAACCATAAAACTTCTTCACAGTTGCATAGGAAGGAGAGTCCTCAGCAAGTGTCTGTACCATGTCTCCATGGATTTCCTTGGGTGTCACACCTTTCTTTTGCAGATACTTTATGACTACTTAGACCTGTTTTGTTCATTTTTAGATATGTTGTACACCTATCACCTTTGTATAGGCCTCACCTGCACAGAGATTAAGACAGAAATTTGAATTAGTTTTTCTAG